GAGGACAGAAGGGTCAGGGGAGACATAATAACAACATACAAGATACTGCGGGGAATAGACAAGGTGGACAGAGATAGGATGTTCCAGAGAGGGGACACAGGAACAAGGGGTCACAACTGGAAGCTGAAGACTCAGATGAGTCACAGGGACGTTAGGAAGTATTTCTTCAGTCATAGAGTTGTCAGCAAGTGGAATAGCCTAGAAAGTGAAGTAGTGGAGGCAGGAACCATACATAGCTTTAAGAAGAGGTATGGTAAAGCTCAGGAAGCAGAGAGAGAGAGGACCTAGTAGCAATCAGTGAAGAGGCGGGGCCAGGAGCTGAGTCTCGACCCCTGCAATCACAATTAGGTGAGTACAATTAGGTGAGTACACACACACACACACACACACACACACACACACACACACACACACACACACACACACACACACACACATGATCCTGCAGGAGAAAGCACGGCTGAGAGGCAAGCAGGAGTTCCGGAGTGTGTACCTCGACCGAGACAGAACACAGGACGAAAGGAAGACAATGAAAGAGAGAGTTCAAAAACGAAAGGAGAAATGGGAGGAAATGAAAAAGGAGAGCAGAATAACCCAGGATCAAATGGAAGGACAAGCGCACCCCCCAGAAACACCTGCAGAAGGACTCCAGCCACGACACCCCCAAGGCAACTGAACATTCCAAACCAACCATCACACACCGATCCCTCTGTTTCCACCCCCCCCGCACCACAGTTACAGTATTAGAACAGAAGTTGAAGGTTTGGTACACAAATGCAGATGGATTAACGAATAAACATGAGGAATGGCAAGAAAGAATCAATGAGAAGTCCCCAGACATCATAGCAGTTACAGAAACAAAACTCATGGAGACAATAACAGATGCAATCTTCCCACCAGGATACCAGATCATGAGGAAAGATAGAAGGGGTAGGGGGGGAGGTGGGGTTGCTCTGCTCGTAAAAAACAGATGGAAATTCGAGAAAATGGAAGGAATAGATGAGACAGGAGAAAGAGACTACATAGCAGGTACACTTCAGTCTGGGGAACACAAAGTGGTCATTGCAGTGATGTATAATCCACCACAGAACTGCAGGAGGCCAAGAGAGGAATATGAAGAGAGCAACAGAGCAATGGTGGACACACTTGCTGAGGTGGCAAGAAGAGCTCACTCCAGCAGAGCAAAGTTGCTGGTTATGGGGGATTTCAACCACAGGGAGATTGACTGGGAAAACCTGGAGCCACATGGGGGTCCCGAAACATGGAGAGCCAGGATGTTGGACGTGGTGCTGGAAAACCTCATGCACCAACATGTTAAGGACACTACCAGAGTGAGAGGGGAGGATGAACCAGCAAGATTGGACCTTGTGTTCACCCTGGGCAGCTCAGACATTGAGGATATCAATTTATGAAGTCCCCTAGGAGCTAGCGCCCAAACGGGGTTCTGTGCTTTGAATACATAGTAGAGCTGCAAGTGGAGAGAAAACGGGAGTAGAATGGGAAAAGCCTGACTATAAAAGAAGGGACTACATAGGTTGAAGAACTTCATGCGGAGTCCAGTGGGACAGAGAACTGGCAGGAAAGCCAGTAAATGAAATGATGGAAAAATTAGCAACAAAAGCAAGGAGGCAGGGGAAAGGTTCATTCCCAAGGGCAACAGTAACAACGGAAGACCAGAACAAGCCCCTGGTTTACCCGACGGTGTAAAGGCAAAAACAAAGTGCAAAAAGAGAATGGAAAAAGTACAGAAGGGAAGAACACACGAAAATAGGGGATCAGTCGCAGAGCCAGGGAAAGAGTACGCACAGGGAAGGAGGGAGGCCCAGCGACAGTAAAGAAAATGACATAGCATCGAGAATCAAGACTGACCCGAAACTGTTGATAGCCACATCAGGAGGAGACAACAGTCAAAGAAACCCGGTGATCAGATTAAGGACAAAGGTGGAGAACTCACAAGAAATGATCAGGAGGTATGTGAGGAGCTGAACAGGAAATTTTAAAGGGAAATTTTTTTCAGTAGAGACAGGAAGGGCTGTGGAAGACAGCACAGAAGGAACATCAAGAGGGAATATACCAACAAGTGTTGGATGACAACAACAACGAGGAGGAGGTGAAGAAGCTCTTAAGTGACCTTGACACCTCAAAGGCGATGGGACCGGACAACATCTCCCCATGGGTCCCCTTTGAGAAGGAGCAGAGATGCTGTGTATGCCTCTAACCACAATCTTCAACACATCCCCTTGAAACTGGGCAACTACCTGAGAAATGGAAGACAGCTAATGTAGTCCCCATATTTAAGAAAGGAAACAGAAACGAGGGACTAAACTACAGACCTGTGTCTCTGACATGTATTGTGTGCAAAGTCATGGAAAGATTATCAGGAGGAAGTGGTCGAACCCCCTGGAAAGGAACAAGATTATAAATGAAAACCAGCATGGGTTCATGGGAAAGGGAAATCTTGTATCACAAACCCCCCTGGAGTTTTATGACAAGGTAACAGAAGTAAGACACGAGGGAAGAGGGTTGGGTAGATTGCGTTTTCCTAGACTGCAGGAAGGCCTTTGACACAGTTCCCCACAAGAGAAATTTGTGCAGAAGCTGGAGGATCAGGCACACATAAAAGGAAGGGCACTGCAATGGATAAGGGGAAAACCTGACAGGGAGGCAGCAACGAGTCATGGTACGTGAAGAGGTATCACAGTGGGCGCCTGTTACGAGCGGGGTCCCACGGGGGTCAGTTCTAGGACCAGTGCTATTTTTGATATATGTGAACGACATGATGGAAGGAATAGACTCTGAAGTGTCCCTGTTCGCAGATGACGTGAAGTTGATGAGAAGAATTAAATCGGACGAGGATGAGGCAGGACTGCAAAGAGACCTGGAGAGGCTGGACATGTGGTCCAGTAACTGGCTCCTCGAATTCAATCCAGCCAAATGCAAAGTCATGAAGATTGGGGAGGGGCAAAGAAGACCGCAGACAGAATATAGGCTAGGTGGACAAAGACTACAGACCTCACTCAGGGAGAAAGACCTTGGGGTGACCATAACACCGAGTACATCACCGAGGCACACATCAACCAAATAACCGCTGCAGCATACGGGCGCCTGGCAAACCTGAGAATAGCGTTCCGATACCTCAATAAGGAATCGTTCAAGACACTGTACACTGTGTATGTTAGGCCCATACTGGAGTATGCAGCACCAGTCTGGAACCCACACCTGGTCAAGCACGTCAAGAAGTTAGAGAAAGTACAAAGGTTTGCAACAAGGCTAGTCCCAGAGCTCAAGGGAATGTCGTACGAGGAAAAGGGTTTAAAGGGGAAAACGGACTGACGACACTGGAGGACAGAAGGGTCAGGGAGACATGATAACGACATACAAGATACTGCGGGGAATAGACAAGGTGGACAGAGATAGGATGTTCCAGAGAGGGACACAGGGACAAGGGGTCACAACTGGAAGCTGAAGACTCAGACGAGTCCACAGGGGCGTTTAGGAAGTATTTCTTCAGTCATAGAGTTGTCAGCAAGTGGAATAGCCTAGCAAGTGAAGTAGTGGAGGCAGGAACCATACATAGTTTTAAGAAGAGGTATGACAAAGCTCAGGAAGCAGAGAGAGAGAGGATCCAGTAGCGATCAGTGAAGAGGCGGGGCCAGGAGCTGAGTCTCGACCCCTGCAACCACAATTAGGTGAGTACAATTAGGTGAGTACACACCAGTTTGCAGTATGCAGCACCAGTTTGGAACCCACACCTGGTCAAGGACGTCAAGAAGTTAGAGAAAGTACAAAGGTTTGCAACAAGGCTAGTCCCAGAGCTCACGGGAATGTCCTACGATGGAAGGCTGAGGGAAATCGGCCTGACGACACTGGAGGACAGAAGGGTCAGGGGAGACATGATAGCGACATACAAGATACTGCGTGGAATAGATAGGGTAGAAAGAGACAGGATGTTCCAGAGAGGGGACACAGAAACAAGGGGTCACAATTGGAAGCTGAAGACTCAGACGAGTCACAGGGACGTTAGGAAGTATTTCTTCAGTCATAGAGTCGTCAGGAAGTAGAATAGCCTAGCAAGTGACGTAGTGGAGGCAGGAACCATACATAGCTTTAAGACCAGATATGACAAAGCTCAGGAAGCAGAGAGAGAGAGAGAGGCCCTATTAGCGATCAGTGAAGAGGCGGGGCCAGGAGCTGAGTCTCGACCCCTGCAACCACAATTAGGTGAGTGCAATTAGGTGAGAACACACACACACAAACATACACACACACACACACACACACCATCTCCTGAGGAACACATCAACCAGATAACTGCTACAGCATACGGGCGCCTGGCAAACCTGAGAATAGTGTTCCGATATCTCAGGGAGGAATCGTTCAAGACTCTGTACACCGTGTACGTCAGGCCCATACTGGAGTATGCAGCACCAGTTTGGAACCCACACCTGGTCAAACACGTCAAGAAATTAGAGAAAGTGCAAAGGTTTGCAACAAGGCTAGACCCAGAGCTAAGGGGAATGTCCTACGAAGAAAGGTTATGGGAAATCGGCCTGACGACACTGAAGGACAGGAGGATCAGGGGAGACATGATAACAACATTCAAAATGCTGCGAGGAGTTGACAAGGTGGACAATGACAGGATGCTCCGGAGATGAGACACAGAGACAAGGGGTCACAATTGGAAATTGAAGACTCAGATGAGTCAAAGGGACATTAGGAAGTGGAATAGTCTGGCAGATGACGTAGTGGAGGGAGGAACCATACATAGTTTTAAGACGAGGAATGATAAAGCTCATTAAGCAGGGAGAGAGAGAAGACCTAGTAGCGACCAGTGAAGAGGCGGGGCCATTAACTATGAATCAACTCCTGCAACCACAAAGAGGTGAGTACACACACACTGCCACACACATACACACACACACACACACACACACACACACACACACACACACACACACACACACACACACACACACACACACACACACACACACACATACTTAGGGTCACTGATAATCTTGGTGAGAGTGTTGACGATAACATCCTCAGTCAGTTCCTCCCAAATTAAAGTGTCTCCCAGTCCTGAGTTCCTGACAAACATGCCGTTCTTGGGTTGGTCGGCGGAGATGGGCAGAACGAGAAGAGGTGTAGCGTGGTATAAGGACTCTTGCATGCTGACAATACCACCGTGCGTGATGAATAACTTCACGTTGTCGTGAGCTGCGGAAAACACAGTTAGCAGATCATGGAATACACAGTGTTAGTGCTAATTGTATGGTGGGGGACAACCAGAGTTTGTTGCATGGTGAGGAACAACCAGTGTTAGTTGCATGGTGAGGAACAACCAGTGTTAGTTGCATGGCGGGGAACAACCAGTGTTAGTTGCATGGTGAGGAACAACCAGTGTTAGTTGTATGGTGAGGAACAACAAGTGTTAGTTGCATGGTGAGGAACAACCAGTGTTAGTTGCATGGTGAGGAACAACCAGTGTTAGTTGTATGGTGAGGAACAACAAGTGTTAGTTGCATGGTGAGGAACAACCAGTGTTAGTTGCATGGTGAGGAACAACTAGTGTCAGTTGCATGGTGACGAACAACCAGTGTTAGTTGCATGGTGACGAACAACCAGTGTTAGTTGCATGGTGAGGAACAACCAGTGTTAGTTGCATGGTGACGAACAACCAGTGTTAGTTGCATGGTGACGAACAACCAGTGTTAGTTGCGTGGTGAGGAACAACCAGTGTTAGTTGCATGGTGAGGAACAACCAGTGTTAGTTGCATGGTGAGGAACAACCAGTGTTAGTTGCATGGTGGGGAACAACCAGTGTTAGTTGCATGGTGGGGAACAACCAGTGTTAGTTGCATGGTGAGGAACAACCAGTATCAGTTGCATGGTGAGGAACAACCAGTGTTAGTTGCATGGTGAGGAACAACCAGTGCTAGTTGCATGGTGGGGAACAACCAGTGTTAGTTGCATGGTGAGGAACAACCAGTATCAGTTGCATGGTGAGGAACAACCAGTGTTAGTTGCATGGTGAGGAACAACCAGTGCTAGTTGCATGGTGGGGAACAACCAGTGTTAGTTGCATGGTGAGGAACAACCAGTGCTAGTTGCATGGTGAGGAACAACCAGTATCAGTTGCATGGTGAGGAACAACCAGTGTTAGTTGCATGGTGAGGAACAACCGGTGCTAGTTGCATGGTGGGGAACAACCAGTGTTAGTTGCATGGTGGGGAACAACCAGTGTTAGTTGCATGGTGAGGAAAAACCAGTGCTAGTTGCATGGTGAGGAACAACCAGTGTCAGTTGCATGGTGAGGAACAACCAGTGTTAGTTGCATGGTGAGGAACAACCAATGTTAGTTGCATGGTGACGAACAACCAATGTTAGTTGCATGGTGAGGAACAACCAGTGTTAGTTGCATGGTGAGGAACAACCAGTGTTAGTTGCATGGTGAGGAACAACCAATGTTAGTTGCATGGTGAGGAACAACCAATGTTAGTTGCATGGTGGGGAACAACCAATGTTAGTTGCATGGTGAGGAACAACCAATGTTAGTTGCATGGTGAGGAACAACCAATGTTAGTTGCATGGTGAGGAACAACCAGTGTTAGTTGCATGGTGAGGAACAACCAATGTTAGTTGCATGGTGAGGAACAACCAGTGTTAGTTGCATGGTGAGGAACAACCAGTGTTAGTTGCATGGTGAGGAACAACCAGTGTTAGTTGCATGGTGAGGAACAACCAGTGTTAGTTGCATGGTGGGGAACAACCAGTGTTAGTTGCATGGTGGGGAACAACCAGTGTTAGTTGCATGGTGAGAAACAACCAGCATCAGTTGCTTGGTGAGGAACAACCAGTGTTAGTTGCATGGTGAGGAACAACCAGTGTTAGTTGCATGGTGATTAACAACCAGTGTTAGTTGCATGGTGACGAACAACCAGTGTTAGTTGCATGGTGAGGAACAACCAGTGTTAGTTGCATGGTGAGGAACAACCAGTGTCAGTTGCATGGTGAGGAACAACCAGTGTTAGTTGCGTGGTTGGGAACAACCAGTGTTAATTGCATGGTTGGGAACAACCAGTGTTAATTGCATGGTGAGGAACAACCAGTGTTAGTTGCATGGTTGGGAACAACCAGTGTTAGTTGTATGGTGGGGAACAATCAGTGTTAGTTGCATGGTGAGGAACAACCAGTGTTAGTTGCATGGTGAGGAATAACCAGTGTTAGTTGCATGGTGAGGAACAACCAGTGTTAGTTGCATGGTGGGGAACAACCAGTGTTAGTTGCATGGTGAGGAACAACCAGTGTTAGTTGCATGGTGAGGAACAACCAGTGTTAGTTGCATGGTGAGGAACAACCAGTGTTAGTTGCATGGTGGGGAACAACCAGTGTTAGTTGCATGGTGAGGAACAACCAGTGTTAGTTGCATGGTGAGGAACAACCAGTGTTAGTTGCATGGTGAGGAACAACCAGTGTTAGTTGCATGGTAGGGAACAACCAGTGTTAGTTGCATGGTGAGGAACAACCAGAGTGCTTGGTATAAATCAAGAGAGCTGCGAAGGAGATCTGAATATAGTTTGGTGATTAAGGAATGCTAGAGTAAAAGTGGATAACCAAGAGAGTGGATAAATCTGGGAGAGATGGGGAGAAAAAAAAAAGACGGATTGTTCCAGCAAGAGTTAGAGGGTGCGAAGGAAGTTTTCAGTTACAAGGTGTTGAGCAATCATCAGTGAATGAAAACGTTGATCAGAGTGAAGAAAGACAAATTTTCTTTTTTTACGTTTTCGCGCACTTTGGAGTGTGGGAAAGGCAACAATTTGCAGAAATTGAGAGAAAGCAATATTTCAGTCAAACTTGGATGTGAGAAGTGTAGGTCAGAGTCAACGATACATCGGGTATGACATCATATTGTTTATATATTCTTCCGTTTATTCCTATATTATTTTATTAAAAAATCAGCCGTTTTCCACCGAGGTATGGTGACCCGAAGAGGAAGAAACACTTTCATCATTATTCATTCCACTCCTGTCTTGCCCGAGGCATACTTAAATTAAGAAGTGATGTGGAATCAACAACTGTATAATGCAGATGGCTTAGGAGAGGTTAATGTGGTAGTTTGGATACATCAAGGTGGAGAGGGCTAGGATGACGACCAGGACGTATAAATCTGGGATGTAAGATAGTAGGGATAAGTATTGTCCCAGGAACTGTTTTGAGCAGTAACTTTGGAAGTGATTTAAGGAAGGGATTACTAGTAATAAGCTTCATGGAAAAGGCTCTCAGATATGTGACATTAAATGAACACAGCTTCCAGGAAGAGTGAAATTATTTGGCTGTCCACAATGATCCACTTCGTGTAGGTTTTAAAATGTATTAGGACTGCAAGTTTTCACAAACTAAACATAGTGTTAATTTCAATAATCCCATCACTGATACTAGGAACATCAAGATCTTTCCACAAGGAGAAATTAGATATGAAAGATGAGGTAAACCATATATTTGAAAAGTGGAAAACGGTGGCTGATGGATTAATCCATATATGGAAAGAAAGAACTTCGTCATTGGAGGCAAAAATCGGAATGTACCAGAAGATAGACGAACCAACGCTTTTATATGGGTGTAAAGCGTGGGTTTTAAAGGTTAAAGCGAGGAGGAGGCTGGAAGCAGTGGAGATAATGTGTCTGAGAACAAAGTGTGGTGTGAATATTTTGCAGAGAATTTGAAGCCATTATATTAGAAGGTGTGGAGTTCAAGGTGCTGGTTAGGGGATGTTGAAGGGTTTAGGCATTTAGAAAGGAATAAACAAAGCAGGAATACTATGAGCTCAATTAATTTCGGATGGAGAGAAATAAAGACAAGGAGTGTCCTAGTATGAGTTAGTGGGAGGGGGTAAAGGACGCTTTGAGTGTTAGAGGCTTAGACATCTAATAGGCTTGTGTGAGATTGTTAGACAGGATTGCAAGGCGACAAGTGAGTTTAATGATCTGACGTGTTGTTTGAGGGTGAGCAAGGTAACATTTATGAAGAGATTTCAGGAAAACATTTAGTCGTACATGAGGCCTGGAGGTGCAAAATACAGTTCCTATACACTGAAGGAGATGTCGGGATACAGAAGTTCAGAAGATCTTCTCAAGTGTGATACCAGCACGCTTCTGGCAAGACAGGGATTGAATAAAAGATGGTTAAAGTGATTCCCCTTTTTCGATGGAAGGTGGCCGATGTGTTAAGAAAAACGTCGTTATTGCATTTTCTGTACAAAGTAAATAAACTGGAGCTAAGTAGAGCATATCAGACAGAGGAGGAAACGCCAGAGAAAAATAATATTTCACAGAAATTGTTAAACGGGGAGAAGATCGTAGATCAATTACAATATATGTAAACCACCAGAAAACGTGATAGTGTTGAATAATGAGTAAACTAAGTCCAGCGTGTTGACGCTAGCGTCAACAAGTTACCTTCCTATGAGAAAACTTACCCCTCATCTACCTGTTGCTGTTCTTGCAACATAACATAGTTCCTGATGACGCACGGAGACCTGTGAAAGATCTTGATTTAAAGATTTCCATCCCAGCGTGGTTTGTCTCGCACAGATAATAATTATTCATACTACATGCAATACAACAAATACTGAAAAGATAGAATATGTCCACGCTATAACTGAGGCTACTATACATACTAGTCTAGGCTATAACCGACGCTGCTATACACACTAGAACTTACCAAGAATGTCTTGTTGGGGAAGCCACTTGCTGATCATCACGTTGTCAGGAATGTCCTCCAACTCTCCCTCGTACTTCCATATGACTCGTTGAGGCAGCCTGCGGAAGGCCTTGATGAACAAGTCTCGATACTGAACTGGCATTGATGTGCTGCGAGTCATAGAACCCAGAGTGAAGTATATGACGCCAGATGATCCTGCGCCCGTGATCCATGTTTCCAGCTCCTGGCAAAAGTAGTATACTATGTTAATTTTTGCACATGTACAGATTATGTTTTTTAAATAAGGTCCCTGAATGATATATCATATGAAGAAGACAGTATATGGGAAGCACTTGAAGCAAAACAATTGACCTGAGGCAAGGGGTTGCCGGGGCGACAGTGCATGGAGCCCACTTCCACCTGAGAGGGCAGAAGAGGCAGCGGCATACTAATAGAGAAGTGGGTGTTGAGTAGTGTTAGGCTCAAGTTTCTCTCCAGCTGCAATAACGGCGGCAGCTTCGGGAACTGAGCTGAGATCTGAGGGTTGCCACAAACATTACTGCACGTACCTTCAACACTCATACAACAAACTTACGTTGTATAAGTAACATAAAGTCACATATTACATGCCGCAAATTATTTTTAACAATATACAACAAAATTATTGAAACCAATGTTTGGTGAGGTACTTCACCCTCTTCAACTTTGAGATGTTCCTGTGACAGCTTACTTCTCACCTCCTTCTGTATGAGTGGGACGATCGCCCATTTCCGCCAGTAAAACGACATCACACTATGATCTAAGAAGTTGAGGAGGCGATGCCATACGCTCATGGGTTTTGGGAAGTCGAAATGCATAGGGACGTAAGCAGGGTTAAGAACGTTGCCCAGGATGGCACTCTGTCGCGGGTCCATCCCTGGAGTAGCCAGTGTGATGAAAGGAACTTCATGCAGGAAAGGATACGCAACCTGTGGAAGAGTGAGTTCTGGCAGTCAAGACGAGCTACGTTGGGCTGAAGGTAAATGATTTAAAAAGAATTGGTCGGTGGATTTTTTTTATAAGAGCAATTACAATAATCTTGAAATATTTAGCCTTTGACAGAGTTTGTAATAATAAACCACAGAACGAGTGGGATTTGAACCCAGGGTAAGTGACTCGTTGAAACTCCAGGCCATACGTTCAAACCCCACCCGTTCCCTGGTTTGTTTGTAATAATATTATTACGACTTCGTGAGTCATGAAAATATGTAACAATCTATATATCCTCAAAGTGATAAATGACATACACACACACACACACACACACACACACACACACACACACACACACACACACACACACACACACACACACACACACAGTATTTACAATAAAAATTTGAAGGGCTCTGGAAAGGCAGCACAGAGGGGAACATCAACAGGGAATATACCAACAGGTGTTGGATGACATACGAACAACGGAGGAAGAGGTGCAGAAGCTGCTAAGTGACCTTGATACCTCAAAGGCGATGGGACCGGACAATATCTCCCCGAGGGTCCTTAGAGAAGGAGCAGAGACACTGTGCGTGCCACTAACCACAATCTTCAATATATCCCTAGAAACTGGGCAACTACCTGAGATATGGAAGACGGCAAATGTAGTCCCCATTTTTAAGAAAGGAGACAGAAACGAAGTACTAAACTACAGACCTGTGTCTCTGACGTGTATAGTATACAAAGTCATGGAGAAGATTATCAGGAGGAGAGTGGTGGAGCACCTGGAACCGAACCGAACAGGATTATAAATTACAACCTGAATGGATTCATGGAAGGCAAATCCTGTGTCACAAACCTTCTGGTGTTTTATGACAAGGTAACAGAAGTAAGACACGAGAGAGAGGGGTAGGTGGATTGCATTTTTTCTGGACTGCAGGAAGGCCTTCGACACAGCTCCTTACAAGAGATTAGTGCAGAAGCTGGAGGAGCAGGCGTGTATAACAGGGAGGGCACTGCAATGGATCAGAGAACACCTGACAGGGAGGCAACAACGAGTCATGGTACGTGAAGAGGTATCACAGTGGGCGCCTGTGACGAGCGGGGTCCCACAGGGGTCAGTTCTAGGACCAGTGCTATTTTTGATATATGTGAATGACATGATGGAAGGGATAGACTCTGAAGTGTCCCTGCTCGCAGATGATGTGAAGCTGATGAGAACAATTAAATCGGATGAGGATCAGGCAGGACTACAAAGAGACCTGGACAGACTGGACACGTGGTCCAGAAACTGGCTTCTCGAATTCAACCCTGTCTAATGCAAAGTCCTGAAGATTGGGGAAGGGCAAAGAAGACCGCAGACAGTATATAGGCTAGGTGGACAAAGACTGCAAACCTCACTCTTGGGGTGACCATAACACAGAGCACGTCTCCGGAGGCACACATCAACCAGATAACCGCTCCACACTGTGTACGTCAGGCCCATACTGGAGTATGCAGCACCAGTTTGAAGCCCACACATGGTCAAGCACGTCAAGAAGTTAGAGAAAGTACAAAGGTTTGCAACAAGGCTAGGTCCGGAGCTCAGGGGTATGTCCTACAATGAAAGGTTGAGGGAAATCGGACTGACGACACTGGAGGACAGAAGGGTCATGGAAGACATGTTAACGACATACAAGATACTGCGTGGAATTCATAAGGTGGACAGTGACAGGATGTTCCAGAGAGGGGACACAGGAACAAGGGGCCACAATTGGAAGCTGAAGACTCAGACGAGTCACAGGGATGTTAGGAAGTATTTTTTCAGTCATAGGGTCGTCAGGAAGTGGAATAGCCTAGCAAGTGACGTAGTGGAGGCAAGAACCATACATAGCTTTAAGGCGAGGTATGACAAAGCTCAGGGAGCAGAGAGGACCTAGAAGCGATCAGTGAAGAGGCGGGGGCCAGGAGCTGAGTCTCGACCCCTGCAACCACAATTAGGTGATTACAATTAGGTGAGTACACACACGCACACATACACACATACACACACACATACACACCACACACACACACACACACACACACACACACACACACACACACACACACACACAGTGTGATTGCGCTTTGTTCTAACCCATACTTATACATAGAGAAGCGTGAGTGTATATATATATATGCCGTGCCGAATAGGTAAAATTAGTGATTTTGGCTTAAATTGCAACGCTCCTCTTGCCGAATAAGTCAAGTGAAAATATATACTGCTTGGGGAGGCTGGTACAACGCCTAGCTCTGCTGGGTGCGTGATTCTTGTAGGACTGTATGGTCCAGTGAGTTAGAGCGTCGTGAATTTTCGCTCACCATGATATAATATATATATATATATATATATATATATATATATATATATATATATATATATATATATATATATTATATCGTGCCTAATAAGCGTAATCGTCCAATTTTACCTATTTGGTAGGCGTTCTCTTTGCTAAATAAGACGAATCAAACTTTGTTTTTGCCATAAATCATGGAAATCGATCTGATCTTAACGAATAAAATATATATATCTTAGATTTAATATTAAATATATTTAAGTAGCAATTTGTCAAGGAGATCAACACTGTTTTTTTTTATGTGAGCTTCAGAAATGTTCCCATGCAATGTAGTTAATATTTTTAACAACCATATTGACAAGCTGTATGTTACTGATCCTACAGTGTTAATAAAAGATCTCCATAGAAAACCTGGCTTGTGGGTTTTAATCAAACCTTACATATAAGGAAGGGTCGTCGACGTCATTACCTCTTGGTAAAGTTCAAAGTTGTTTATCATACAAACATTAACCTGGTCCAATGGGTTCTTATTAAGAACGTAAGTATCCCTGTCTTATAATGTTCATTTTTCCGTCATAATCTACCCTCTCCATAATTACTATCGTATTTACGTTGTCTGCTTGGTTAAGTGAAGTTAGGACCTTTCTTTAAATCATAATATGACTTAACAAATCTTTGAGGACAATTCGGTTCCACAGGTGTGAGCGAAGCTCCATATATCTTGCCTTTTCAAATATTCAGCGTTTCAGGGAATAGATCCCCTTGTTTTTCCAGACTGATGAAAAGATTTGGCATTGTTAACATAATTAAATGTCCCAACTAATAAGCAGGAGGATTCTACGCCGGTCGCGAGTCAGTTCAACACTCGACAGGTTGACAGCGAACTCAGGGTGAGCATGGCGAGTCAGTTCAACACTCGACAGGTTGACAGCGAACTCAGGGTGAGCATGGCGAGTCAGTTCAACACTCAACAGGTTGACACCGAACTCCGGGTGAGCATGGCGAGTCAGTTCAACACTCGACAGGTTGACAGCGAACTCCGGGTTAGCATGGCGAGTCAGTTCAACACTCGACAGGTTGACAGCGAACTCCGGGTTAGCATGGCGAGTCAGTTCAACACTCGGCAGGTTGACACCGAACTCCGGGTGAGCATGGCGAGTCAGTTCAACACTCGGCAGGTTGACAGCGAACTCCGGGTGAGCATGGCGAGTCAGTTCAACACTCGACAGGTTGACAGCGAACTCCGGGTTAGCATGGCGAGTCAGTTCAACACTCGACAGGGTGACAACGAACTTCGGGTGAGCATGGCGAGTCAGTTCAACACTCGACAGGTTGACAGCGAACTCCGGGTGAGCATGGCGAGTCAGTTCAACACTCGACAGGGTGACAACGAACTCCGGGTTAGCATGGCGAGTCAGTTCAACACTCGACAGGTTGACAGCGAACTCCGGGTTAGCATGGCGAGTCAGTTCAACACTCGACAGGGTGACAGCGAACTCCGGGTGAGCATGGCGAGTCAGTTCAACACTCGACAGGTTGACAGCGAACTCCGGGTTAGCATGGCGAGTCAGTTCAACACTCGACAGGTTGACAGCGAACTCCGGGTTAGCATGGCGAGTCAGTTCAACACTCGACAGGTTGACAGCGAACTCCGGGTGAGCATGGCGAGTCAGTTCAACACTCGACAGGTTGACAGCGAACTCCGGGTGAGCATGGCGAGTCAGTTCAACACTCGACAGGTTGACAGCGAACTCCGGGTTAGCATGGCGAGTCAGTTCAACACTCGACAGGGTGACAGCGAACTCCGGGTTAGCATGGCGAGTCAGTTCAACACTCGACAGGTTGACAGCGAACTCCGGGTTAGCATGGCGAGTCAGTTCAACACTCGACAGGGTGACAGCGAACTCCGGGTGAGCATGGCGAGTCAGTTCAACACTCGACAGGGTGACAACGAACTCCGGGTTAGCATGGCGAGTCAGTTCAACACTCGACAGGTTGACAGCGAACTCCGGGTTAGCATGGCGAGTCAGTTCAACACTCGACAGGGTGACAGCGAACTCCGGGTGAGCATGGCGAGTCAGTTCAACACTCGACAGGTTGACAGCGAACTCCGGGTTAGCATGGCGAGTCAGTTCAACACTCGACAGGTTGACAGCGAACTCCGGGTTAGCATGGCGAGTCAGTTCAACACTCGACAGGTTGACAGCGAACTCCGGGTGAGCATGGCGAGTCAGTTCAACACTCGACAGGTTGACAGCGAACTCCGGGTGAGCATGGCGAGTCAGTTCAACACTCGACAGGTTGACAGCGAACTCCGGGTTAGCATGGCGAGTCAGTTCAACACTCGACAGGGTGACAACGAACTCCGGGTGAGCATGGCGAGTCAGTTCAACACTCGACAGGGTGACAACGAACTCCGGGTTAGCATGGCGAGTCAGTTCAACACTCGACAGGTTGACAGCGAACTCCGGGTTAGCATGGCGAGTCAGTTCAACACTCGACAGGTTGACAGCGAACTCCGGGTTAGCATGGCGAGTCAGTTCAACACTCGACAGGGTGACAGCGAACTCCGGGTGAGCATGGCGAGTCAGTTCAACACTCGACAGGTTGACAGCGAACTCCGGGTTAGCATGGCGAGTCAGTTCAACACTCGACAGGTTGACAGCGAACTCCGGGTTAGCATGGCTAGTCAGTTCAACACTCGACAGGGTGACAGCGAACTCCGGGTGAGCATGGCGAGTCAGTTCAACACTCGACAGGTTGACAGCGAACTCCGGGTTAGCATGGCGAGTCAGTTCAACACTCGACAGGTTGACAGCGAACTCCGGGTTAGCATGGCGAGTCAGTTCAACACTCGACAGGTTGACAGCGAACTCCGGGTGAGCATGGCGAGTCAGTTCAACACTCGACAGGTTGACAGCGAACTCCGGGTGAGCATGGCGAGTCAGTTCAACACTCGACAGGTTGACAGCGAACTCCGGGTTAGCATGGCGAGTCAGTTCAACACTCGACAGGGTGACAACGAACTCCGGGTGAGCATGGCGAGTCAGTTCAACACTCGACAGGTTGACAGCGAACTCCGGGTTAGCATGGCGAGTCAGTTCAACACTCGACAGGTTGACAGCGAACTCCGGGTGAGCATGGCGAGTCAGTTCAACACTCGACAGGTTGACAGCGAACTCCGGGTGAGCATGGCGAGTCAGTTCAACACTCGACAGGTTGACAACGAACTCCGGGTGAGCATGGCGAGTCAGTTCAACACTCGACAGGTTGACAGCGAACTCCGGGTGAGCATGGCGAGACAGTTCAACACTCGACAGGTTGACAGCGAACTCCGGGTTAGCATGGCGAGTCAGTTCAACACTCGACAGGTTGACAGCGAACTCCGGGTTAGCATGGCGAGTCAGTTCAACACTCGACAGTTTGACAGCGAACTCCGGATTAGCATGGCGAGTCAGTTCAACACTCGACAGGTTGACAGCGAACTCCGGGTGAGCATGGCGAGTCAGTTCAACACTCGACAGGTTGACAGCGAACTCCGGTTAGCATGGCGAGTCAGTTCAACACTCGACAGTTTGACAGCGAACTCCGGATTAGCATGGCGAGTCAGTTCAACACTCGACAGGTTGACAGCGAACTCCGGGTGAGCATGGCGAGTCAGTTCAACACTCGACAGGTTGACAGCGAACTCCGGGTTAGCATGGCGAGTCAGTTCAACACTCGACAGTTTGACAGCGAACTCCGGATTAGCATGGCGAGTCAGTTCAACACTCGACAGGTTGACAGCGAACTCCGGGTGAGCATGGCGAGTCAGTTCAACACTCGACAGGTTGACAGCGAACTCCGGGTGAGCATGGCGAGTCAGTTCAACACTCGACAGGTTGACAACATGTTTGGACCAACCACTTCGTGCTCTGAAATTATTCAATTTTTTAACATTTAAACCTCAGTTTTCCGTTTCGTTATATATAATTGTATAAATAATCTTACCACTCGAGTGGTACCACGATGAACAACTTTTGCTCAACACTCAATAAATAACATTCTTTAGGGTTTTAGCCAATCAGTAATCTTAGTAATTACTGACCTGTGGAGCTGATCAAAAGGAATCGAAAACAGAGTAAACAACCTGCTATGTATAAGCGATTTCGGTAATATCTGTTTACTGATTGAAGTGATACTGAGAAAGTGAATGGTGACCAATGGTCATCCTTCTTTAAAAATAGTTGCAGTTGTACAACTTAGCTACAAGACTCGGACCACTCACACAGCACATTCATCTAAGTTAAGAGTACTAACCTCATTAAACATATGGTTTATCACTATGAGATCAAATTCTTTCCTTCTCTCATAGATCTCCTTCACGACGGGAACTTTGTACAAGTCTCTAGCAATGGCTGGCAGAGCAACCTTTAAGTGCTTAAATGGGCCACTACGATCCTTGCGGTAGTCGAACATGTTTACATTGTCCTGACTCATGTGTGGAAGGCCGTGTGTGACCTCGTGAATGTTGGCATGTTTGGATGTCTTCGGGTGATTGGACAGCATCACTATCTGCGGAGAGGATGTGGCTCGCTGGTTAACATAATGATCACTTGTAAAGAGAGGAAGACCTTAAGATTACTTCACAGTTGTATTATTATAATCAAAATCAAGCGCTAAACCCACTAGGGTCATATAGCATTGGGTCACAGTTGTAACAAATCAAAACAACTCATCAGCTGGGAGAAAAAAATATTTACAACTCCATACTGATAGCGATTCTCATTTATAATTTTTTTTGTTAAACATATTTAAAATATAAATAAATAATGATGATGATAATAATAATAATAATAATAATAATAATAATAATAATAATAATAATAATAATAATAATAATAATAATAATAATAATAATAATAATAATAATAATACCAATAAGAATTAAAAACATTTATCTTAGAAGTTAGCAATGAATATGAGGTGATTGCTGTCAAGAATTAACTGAGTGAGGAGTTACCTTGTGTCCACGCTGTGCCAGTGCCTCAGCCAGTGCCATGAAGATGTTTTTGTGGCTCCTGGATCCCACTGGGAAAAGCATAAGGATCTTATAGGACTTCTCAGGAGGAGACAACGTGCCCTCAGCACTCGCCACAGCAGCCATCAACAACGCACAAAGAATCCCCAGATTCATCTGTACACATTACAAATCAAATTGATACTAGGTAACTTGTTTTAGTTACATGTGTTCGTGAACATTCGTTTAAATATTCAAGCAAAATTCAAAATACAAGTAAAGAAATAATGATATATATATATATATATATATATATATATATATATATATATATATATATATATATATATATATAATATTATATATACGTACATACCACCTCTATAGCTGGACTGGGGACCCTCATCCTCAGAGAAGACATTAAAAGTACCTCAGGGATAACCCGGAGCTGTTTGAATATTTTCTTCTCCTACCACCCCCTATATTTTATATTCTATGGTAAATTTTATTAATAGACACAATACAATGACAGAAAACACAAACATGAATACATAGGTACAATATATCAGAGATTATGAATTTCCTCCAGCTCCTCCGAAGCCGGACGCGAGTAAAGTATGCAGCAAGCATTTCCCCTCTGGATTGCCATGCTGAGGCACTGGAACATGAAAGTGGCTGCCCTTGGGTCCCTGGTGGTGTCGATGAGTCTGGAACGCAATTCTTTAAGGAACGTGTGGCATGTTTTCTCCATGATCCCAAGGTCTCTGATCCCACTGGGACAAATTAATACTGTTGGCTTATGTCCCTGTACTTGCTGATCTTGTACTCCTCCTTGTCGCCCCACACTGTGGTGGATATAGGTGTCAGCCAGTGTGGACACACAGGTATAGTCCCATGCTAAGAGCTTACCACTCTTCCAAGGATAGATGGTGATCCCATAGAGACGGTTTGCTGGGTTGTGGGTATTATTGGCTGCTAGTGATCGGGGCTCCCTCTCGGCTGAGCATCCAGTTGCACCAAGGGTTCTCTTTATGATGTCATTGACTTCATTGTGTCTTGCATGCCAGCCCTTGGTTTTGGAAGAGCTAAGAACATGTAGACCATACTGGTCTGCTTATACATCGCCGCAAATACACGTATATTCTGTGTGAACTGGAGAAGCAAGGCGCTGAGCCACTGCAATATGGAGGGTAGCAGGGTTGAGGCGCGTTCCCATTGGCGAAATGGGAGCTGTTTGGAGGAAGTCCCCAGAGTGATGTGCACTCACAGCTTGGAGACAGGCAGTCTCCCTGTTCGATGTTACAGCCCTAAGCATGTTTGTAAGCACCTTTTCAGCGATGGGGCTATCCCAACTTGACGGTTTGTAGGCCAGTGCTGCACTAGGTTTCGGTGCTGGAGCAGAAAGTCTCCCATTCAGTGATGGCACTGGCATAGCTAGGGTCCTGCATTCCTGCTGAGTCACGGAGGTTGTCTGGAAGAATTTGCTTTACTAACTCATTTGATGCTATGGAAGAGGATAGGAAAGTCGGTAGGGCGCTCTGTGAGGATTTGCGTACTCCCAGGCCCCCAAGCCTGACTGAAAGTGAGGATTGCAACCACTGTCCATCTTCGAGGGAAAGATTCAGTACGAGTACTCTCTAGCATGGTCCTAAAGAGAGAGTCATATTCCTTGAGTTTTGGACTGCTGAAGGCTGGGGAGCATCTCAGGAAGTAGGTAATTTTTGGGATTGACAAGCACCTGGTGAGTAGGTAGAAGGCATCATGTGTATCGATATCTTTCATCCTGCCTTCCATCGTCCTGAAAGCTAAGATGATTTTTTCTAGGATCAGATCGATGGCATTGGGCCCAAGAGGAGCACCAAGGAGAGTGCTGGTGGCTGGATCAATGGCTCGTGCTCCTGGTAAAACAGCACTGATATTCCAGATCATCTGTCGATTGATAGAAACTATTTCATGTTTGGTGTGCTTTAAAGATAGGCTCAGACTCTCTCCCATGTCTTTAATTTTTCTGATGTCTTCTAGGAGAGATTCTTTGGTGCCAGCTAGAGTACCATCATCCAAGAACCAGATATTGAGCTCACTGGAGAGTTCTTCTGTGAATTCCTTAATGAGCAGACAGAAGAGAAAGGGGCCGAGAGGGTCCACCTGTTGCACACCCTCACAGTCAATTTCATGGTCCCCAAACAATAGTTTAGAGGTCACACTATGATAAGATTCAATGAAGGGATAAAGGGAAGGGAAGTGTCTAGAAACTGCATTTAGAGAAGCATCCCTTCTGATTAATTTGAAATAATAACACTGCGACTAGCCTGCCTCATGGTGAGCGAAAATTCCAAGACACTCTAATCCACGGGACTACACAATCCTACAAGAATCACGCACCCAGCAGAGCTAGGTGTTGTACCGTGATCCGAGGACATATAACGGCGTGAGTGCCTCCGAACTAATATCATTCAACTTCCCGTTTGGTGTACTAGCCTCTACAAGCAGTATATATTGTATTGTAGCCACGAACGAGTGGTATTTAATCAATAACAACACTGCGTATGCCCTCGGATCACGCTACAATACCTAACTCTGCTGGGTGCGTGATTCTTGTAGGATTGTATGGTCCCGTGGGTTAGAACGTCTTGGAATTTTCGCTCACCATGAGGCGGGCTAAAACAACAAGGGTTCATTCCCCCGGCTAGTCGCTATGTTGTTATTGATTAAATACCGACTTGTATAAATGGAAAACAGGAATAAATAAAGGGGATGTAAATAAGAAAGAAGGAACACTGCAACAGGCCTACTGACCCATGTGGAGAAGGTCCATGTCTCCCCCCGGATTAGCCCAATGACCTCCCCCGAATTAGCCCAATGACCCACCCAGTCTGGTCAGCTCCACTCAAGGAAGGAGCACTTCACCAGACCCAGCAGCACAAGCTAGTCAGGTCCAACTCACACCCACCCACTCCCACTCATGCATTTATCTAACCTATTTTTAAAACTACACAACGTTTTAGCCTGAATAACTGTACTCTGGAGTTTGTTCCACTCATCCACAACTCTATTACCAAACCAGTGCTTTCCTATATCCTTTCTGAATCTGAATTTTTCCAACTTGAAACCATTGCTGCGAGTCCTGTCTTCGCTGGAAATTTTCAGCACGCTATTTACATCCCCTTTATTTATTCCTGTTTTCCATTTATACACCTCGATCATATCCCCCCTAATTATACGCCTTTCGAGAGAGTGCAGATTCAGGGCCTCAGTCTGTCCTCATAGGGAAGATTTCTGATACATGGGATCTTTGTCATCCTCCTCTGTACGTTTTCCAGAGCATTTACATCCATTCTGTAATACGGTGACCAGAACTGAGCAGCATAGTCTAAATGAGGCCTAACCAAGGATATATAGAGTTGAAGAACAATCTGAGGACTTCTATTATTTATACTTCTAGATATGAAGCCAAGATTCTGTTAGCTTTATTGCGAACACTAATGCACTGTTGTCTTGGCTTTAGATTACTGCTAACAAGAACTCCTAAATCCTTTTCGCATATCAGTAGTATTAAGATCTACACTACTTAGTTTATATGTGGCATGGTTATTTACTGTCCAACATTTAGAACTTTGTATTTGTCAATATTAAACTGCATCTGCCACTTCCCCGCCCATTGATCATTTAAACACCTGGAGGCTCTAGGGCCCTCTTAGAATGATGGGAGGGCCCTTTTTGGTGTATAAAGCAAATTGTTTGCGCTTTTTTCCCTCATCATGGTTTATGTAAATTATGAAAAAAGGGGGCCAACACTGAACCTGAGAAACACCGCTTTTGACATGCTCCTTTCGATTTCTCCTCTTTACGCAAACTCCTGTGCTATTGTCAGCCATGCCCCACCCAGGAAAAAATTCTCCCCTATCCGTGGCATAGGTTTCCTATAGTCTCTTGGGGGACTTACGAAAGCCTTCTAAATCCATAAAAAAATAATATTCTTTACCATGATCATCTCCCCAACCCCTTGGAAAAAAAGTTAAAAAATTTTTAAGACAGGACCCTCCTTTGTAAAACCGGAAGATTCTTATCAATATGTATCTACAAGACGGCTACGAATTGCTTCACAATTTATTGATTCCAAAAATTTTTCCCCATATGGAGGAAAGTTTAGGGTCTATATTCGAACTAAGGCTTGTCACCTCCTTGAAAATGGTATTACATTTTGCTTTCCCCCATTTATCGGGCATATGCCAGTTTGAGTAAATTTAAAAAAGTTTAAAAAAGGTTGCAATTCCTCTTTACTTTCCTTTAAAACACCCTTGAAAACATTTCACAGGACCGGGGGGATTTGTTAGTTTTATTTCCCTATTTGGTGAACCATTACTAGTTCCACAATCGTGCATATTTTTATTTCCCCTGTTCTACAAATTTTTATTTCTGGAATATCGCTAGTATTCCCGGTGAAAACTGAGAAGTAGGTATTGGGGATTTACATACCCTTATCATGTCAGTGTCTGACCATATATTATATTTATATAAATATATATAATATATATATATAATATATATATATATAATTTTTTAAAATATATTTTTTTAATAATATATTTATAAAATATATATATAAAAATAATATATATATATATATATTTTATATTTGTATATAAATTATAATATTTTAATATATATAATTTTATATAATATATTTTATAATATATTTTTATATATATATAAATTTTTATATATTTTATATTATATATATATATAATATTATTTATTATCAATAAATCACAGAAAAAGTGATTTGGAAATGCAAAACCCCACTCGAAAAATAGAAAAATTAAGCGCTTTCGTGACACTCCCTTTATAAAGGAAATTGAAAGAAAGCATAAGGAAGCTATAAAGGGTTGGGCCCCAACACCTACTACAGATCCCCAACGGTTAAACCTACCGCGCCCCCAACGGGAAAGGGCCTTTGCAAATCCCCACAAAATTCCCCCAAAAAAAATTTAAAAGGTATTTGTCCAGGGATTATTAATTCCCCCAAAATCTTTTAAATTTAAAAGTGGTTTAATTTAAAATTTAAACAAAGGAAAATTTTCTATTTTTGTCAAAATGTTTTTTAAAACAAGATTCATTATTTTCCTGTCGAATGGACTTGCTTGAACTTTTTTCTCACTTTTTAAAATAATTTGAGG